TCCATCAATGGGGGGGAAAAAAAACCTTCCTGCGTGCATGTGCTCAGGAAGATACCAAGTGCACAGGGGGGGCCCGCAACATTAACAACTAGACTACACATTAAACAAAAATAAAAAACTCTTGCTGGGATTCAGATCGCGACCCCCCCCTGTTCACTTGCGGGACCCCATATGGGGTCACGACCCACACTTTTAAGAAGCACTGCTCTAGCCCAGCCCACTGATGACATCTGCGCCAGATCTGCATGGAAAATTAAAAGAATGAATAGGCTTTTTCCCAAAACCTTGCAAGATCTTGGGGAAAAAGTCAATTTATTCTTTTTGTTTTCTACACAGATCTTGCTACAAGAATACCCTGGAAGGCACTGATGACGTAGGCTTCCCAGGGGGCTGGTGTGAGGCCTTGGCTATGTCACTAGTGCCTCAGTCAACTGCACAACTGCAAGTGGAATTACATTAGGCCCGGTTCACATCTGGGCGTTTTGTAGGGCGTTCCTACGCTCTGCAAAATGCTTAGACACACCGAAATCCCATTATTTCCTATGGGTATGGTTCACACCTGGGCGTATTACAGGCCGTATGAACGCGCTACAAAACGCCCTACGCCCAAAGAAGTACAGGAGCTTCTTTGGGGCGTATTTGCAGCGCGTATCCATTGGGATACAGCCAGGTAGCCCTCGGAAACGCGTGTTTGTCACGTGTTTTTCTAACCGCGAATCTCAGGACAAACGCGCATATTCGATACGCCTAGGTGTGAACCCAGCCTAAATGTAAGTTACAAAAATATTCTATTTAACAAATTACTGTAAAATGTTTTGTTATCAGCATGCAGAGTTGTCGGCACAAGGGATTTTTAGTGTTGGGGGAGGTCCTCTTTAACATGGCACTGCATGTTTGTATTTGTGCAATTTATATAGACTGAGCTAATATGTAATGGGTTGCTCGTTTTCTTACTGTTTTTCCTTTTCTGAATTGCTAGAAATTTGGCTGTACAGAGTTATAAATAAATGAATAAGCTTTCTTGCGAACTTTGTCAGCGTGGCAACCATTGTTTTGGCAGTGCTTGACATGGAGTAGGGCTAAGACAGAAACACCAGCTACTTATATTTATTAAACAGGACCTAAACTGTGCTCAGTATGCTTTCAAACTGCCCATAAAACAAGTCCAATAAAGTTTTAGAAAAAAATTCTTTACTTTCCAAGTCATGTATGTGTGAAAAAATAAATAGGGAGCCAAACATGTTTCTTTGCTTTCAGTGCTCAGGGAGAAAAACACAACATGATTCCTAGTCATCTTAAAGCGAGGCAGGCATAGACAACAGGAGCAGACTGAGGAGT